GAGACCCTACAGAGCTTCCTCACCTCTTCTGCCATGTGAAGATATGGCAAGAAGGCAGCTGTCTACCACCCAAGAAGTTGGCCCCCAACCAGACACTTACTCTGCTGGTGCCTTGATCCTAGGTTTCCCAAGCCTCCAAACTGTGAGAAATAAATTTTTGTTATTTAAAAGCCACCCAGGCTAAGGTTTTCTGTTAAAAGCAGCCTGATCTGACTAAGATAACCTTATTCAAATTGTTACAAAGAACAGAAAAAGTGGAGAGGCTTCAAAACTTATTTAATGAGACAAGTATAACCTTGATACCAAAATAAATAGAACAAAAATGAATGGAACAAGGAAAGAAAAAAAATCTTATTATATATCTTTATAAATCCTAGAGAAAGCACTTGGTAAGTATGGTCCACTCTTACTATTACTGGCCTTGGCATCACAAAGACCAATGTGTGAATCCCAAATCCACCTGAAACATGTTGCCGATCCTCTGAGCATCAGGTGTCCTTGTCTGTAATGCGGTAGGTGACATCTAATGGTGCTTAATTCAGAACATTATTGTGCAAATTAAATGAAAGACTGTATGTTAATAATCCTTTTATGTTGCTTGTTAATCAAGACTGTATAAAATGATCTTTGTAATTTTGGAGTAGAAAAATGCAAACACAACTACAAAAGTATATATAAATTCAACTAAATCAAAATGTAAAACTTTTGTTTTTCTATTCAACAATACCATAATTATAGTCAAAGACAGGCCAGAGCCTAGGGACTGCACTTGCCATATACATCACCATTAATTATTATCCACAGTGCATAAAAATTCCCTACAGGTCAACAAGAAAAAGATAACCCAGTGTAAGAATGGGAGAAGGATGCAAACAGGCAATTCATAGAGGGAAATTGAGTTGCTAATAAACGTATGAAGAAATACACCTAGTTNAAGAGCACAATGATGGTGCCAACTTGGGCCAGTGAAGCAACATCCTCCACAACTAGACTGAAGAACAAAACAACAGCAACTTGTCTGTTTCCCTTCCCCCAACTCCCCAGCACTGTTCCCATCCCAATTCCCCAATAAAAATCTTTAAAAAAAAACAACAAAAAATTCTTAACAAATGAATCTAAAAATTAAAAATTTATCCATAAGTTTGAGACTAGACTGAGCTCAAAAAGAATGGGTTTCAAACTCATTCTACATTGTTTGACAGTCCTAATGCTGCCCATGGGGTCAGAGGTCAGGCTAGGAATAGATTTCTATTCTCTTGACTTCTATTGGGACTGTTCCTTGAGGTGTGCCCAGGATGTCAACAGTGGAGATGAAGAAAGGGGGGGTTTCTAGAAGAAGGGAGGAGTGTGATAAAAGAAACATAGACTTGTAGGAAAATTAATTTCTTGATGTTCTGAAAGATGGAGAAAGGTAAGGAGCAGAGTGAGGAGACCTCACAGTGGCTCTAGGAAGATGATGAGAAAAGGAGTGGAATGTTGTGATCACCATGAAGTAAGCATCCACAGCATTTGGTGGAGGAGAGGAGGAGACAAGGTGAAAGGGGTGATGTGATTCATGCTGAAGGGGTGTGTGTGTGTGTGTGTGTGTGTGTGTGTGTGTGTGTGTTGAGACCAAATGGTCAGCTATTTGTAAACATCTTGACAGTTGGTCAGATTCTTCCATGTACATTTTGGGTGGTTTGCAAAGCCTGTTCCCATCCCTACCTCATTCTGGACAGTCCGTAGGACACTGTTTGCCAAAAACCATTGCTGCATAACAAGCCACCACAAAACCTCAGTAGCATGCAATAATAAACATATGTCTGCATGACTCAGCTCGTCTAGGCTGGTTGTTTCTGCTGATCTTGGCTGGCTTGATTCATGTAAGTGGTATTGACTGCGAGGCAGCTGATCTAGCCAGGGTTTAACTGTGCAACATGGCTCTGTGTACTGTGTCTATCCTCCTGGAACCAGCAGGCTGACCTGAAAACAACTTTCTTATGGAGAGGGTGCAAGAGAGCAAGTGGAAACATGCAAGGCCTCTCAGGACCTAGGCGCAAATTGGGCACATTGTGACTTCTGCTCTATTGGCCAAATCGAGTCACGTGGCTAAGCCCGGATTCAAGGGGTTGGAAAAAGACTCCACCTCTTTGGTGGGAAGGATTGCAAAGTCACATGGCAAGGGGCATGGGTACAGGGAGGGCTGAAGCGTTGGGCTATTAGTGAAGTTTACTGCAGATGCTAATGCTTGCACTCCTGCATATCCCTCGCAGGCCTGAGTTGCTGCTCCCCATGCTGTGCTGTGAACAAGAGAAAGGCCCTCTGGATCACTTGGTGGAACCTGCGGAAAACCTGCTACCAAATAGTGAAACACAGCTGGTTTGAGAGCTTTATTATCTTTGTGATTCTGCTGAGCAGTGGGGCACTGGTAAATTATCATGTCTTGTGGGGACATTAGGGAACAAGGCAGCTGGGGGAGCTGCATTCTGACTTTGCCCCTCATGGGGCTATGAATATGGGGAGAATAGGCAAAAGTGGGATCTTGGCTGCTGCTTCCCCTTAGGGGACAGGATTTTGCATCACAACCTCTGGAGTCGTGCTCCAAGTGGGAAATCCCCAGCCAAAGGTGCTTTACCTGTGGAGAAGCATGACCCTAACCAGCACTCTAAAGTGGCTGTTGGAGTCTTGCCCTTGACCCGAGGTCTGTCCATTATTCCTGGAGCATTTCTAGACATTTTCACTGTATCCTACCTGTTTTCTCCTCTAGATAGCAGTACTCCAACCCTCTCTTTTCCTGAAGACCATAATGCTACTTTCTAAAAGGTAAACGTTAGGAGGAAAATGCTACAGGAGGAAGATTAGGATATAGTACGTTGCTTTGGTGTTTTCCATCACTCTTGATCCCTTGAGTGGAGAGACAAAGAAATACCGCTTTATGTGTACGACAGAACCTTCCGAATCGAAGTGTGGTGTGTCCCAGTGAGGTCTGGAAAGAACTGAGTCCATCAGCCTCCATAGCCGTATAGTCATAAACTCCTTCCTGCTCTCTCTCCTCATCCCTTGGTCCTTCTTGCCCCTCTTCGTCTCCCCCTTGGGTGATAGTATTTTCTCTTATCACCTACATATTATTTCACTCCCTCCCTCTCTCCCTCTCTCCCTCCCTCCCTGCCTTCCTCCCTCCTCTCCCTCTCTCCTTCTCTCCCTCTCGCCTTCTCTCCCTCTCTCTCCCCCGCCTTCTATTTTGCATCTCCCCTTAAAATGGCCATAATACAGGACTAAATTTTTTTTCTATTATAAATGGAGCCCTGGGTTCCCCCTCATTGATTTAGAGTCAAAGAACATTTCACAATAAGTTGCTAGCAAATAGAAGGGACAAGGAAATGTCTTACTTCTTCACCCCTGTCTCCCTGGTTAGTGCTTTACACGTGTGATCTCTGGGTGAAAGATGAGCACATAGTAGGGCCCATCAGAGCCTGTGACCAACAGACATCCCCAATTATCGACTTACTGCCATGTAAATTATTCCTCAAACAAAAAAGCAAATTTTTCTAAAACTATCCCAGAGAACAGCCTTGATTAATTTTCATTGCTAACCCTTGGCCCTCGGTTCCCTGTAGTCTTCTGGTAGTTATGTTCTCACTGGCTAGCTATACTTATTCAAGTGGTAGGGTTCTTTCATTTACTCCACAAATGGTAACTGGTGTCTACCAAGCCCTGTGCTAGTCAGTGGGAATGCAGTGGTGTTGATTCCATTGGGAAAAAAAACAGCCTTTCATACCTTGTGAGCAACACTGCATCACCAAGAGAGATACTAGTTTAAATTCAAATAAGGAAGAAAAATAAAAAGTAGAGTCAGCAAGGAGTTCTATGCAAATATTCAACCTGACCTATGGCTGTGCTTTATCATTTCAGATATTCGAAGATATTAACCTTGAAAAACAACCCAATATCCAAGCATTACTTCAATGTACTGACAATATTTTCACATACATTTTTATCCTGGAGATGGTTCTGAAATGGGTGGCCTTAGGATTCAGGAAGTATTTCACCAGTGCCTGGTGCTGGCTCGATTTCATCATTGTGATTGTGAGTTTACTATCTCTGTGTCCCATGCAGGCAGCGGTGGGGGTGGCCGTGGGGGAGGGGACCACCTGGGAGCTGCTTTTTCTGTGTGCCTCTCTAGAATATTTTCCTTCATAATGCTTGTAAGTAATTGTTGGTTATATATCAGCAGCCCTGCCTTTCCTGGGTCCCATTTATCCTACGCTGCACTTCATATGTTTACCGCCCCAACCCTTTCCATGATGGCACTCATCCACTTCTCTCCATAAACACTGCTTATGCCTGATGTATACCTCGAATAACTTTAAATATCCTCCATTTTCCCTTCTCCTTTCAACTTTCCAGTTATTTTCAAGACTTCTCAAAGCAGGTCAGCAGCTGACAGACTAGGCTGGTCTCCATCTTGACTGCCAAGCAGCACAAGGGGATTGTTCACAAACACCCCTTCCTTTGATCTGCACAACAACGTCCTGAGTTAAGCAGAGTTATACATCACCTACCCTGTCACAGACTAGGAAGCCTGAAGCTCAGATGATCAGCAGCTTGTTTCAGGGGAAACTGGGGTTCATGGCTTGGTTTGTACGGCGCTAAGGCCAATAATAGTAAAAGCAAATCACATTTTTTGAGTGCTTTCTCTATCCCGCGTTCTCTGCCATAAGCTTCATGTACATCCTCTTTTTTAGTTACCACAGCCACTCCAAGTGGTAGGGGTGTGATTCTTTTCCCCATATGCATAGCAGGAAACTAAGTCAGAGAGAGGATACGAAACATGTTCAAGATTGCCCAACTACAAGTGGTGAAGGTGAGACTCAGACCTAGTAAGTCTCACTCCAAAACCCTTGATTTTAACACCCATATCCTTTCTACCGTGAGTGAATTAGTTAGACTTTCGTCCACGCTAT